CTATTCCCCAAAGCACCAGAGGGCAGGACAAGAAGCAACGGATGGAAACTAATCAAGGAGAGAAGCAACCTAGAACTAAGGAGAAATTTCCTGACAAGTTAGAACAATTAATCAGTGGAATGACTTGTCTCCCAGAAGTTGCGGGTGCTCCATCACTGGAGGCTTTTAAGAAAAGACTGGACAGCCACCTGTCTGAAATGGTATAGGAACTCCTGATTGATCAGGGTTGGACTAGAAGACCTCCAAGGCCCCTTCCAATTCTGCTATTCTGTTCCTTAGGAAATTCAGAGCGGTAGGGAATCCAGAAGAGAAGGTTGGAGGTGGCGATCTTAGATCTTCCAAGAACGTGAAGTAGCTCAGGTTGTTTTCACACGGACTTACTTGGAGGCAGGAGGGATTTTATTAGATGCAGATGGCTTCTGCAAGGAGCCACCCTTGGTCCCAGCAGCTGTGGTGGCTTCAGTGCCCAGTTCTTCTGCATTGTGTTTGTGACTCAAGACCTCTGGCAAAGATCTGAAGCTGCTGCACCTTGGAATGAGAAGCAGGAAACTGAGCTGGGACAGAAAAACCTAACATTTCTAGCTGAACCAGTATTTTTCCTCCTCCCGATGATCAGCTGTTCCGACAATCAGCTGTTCCGACGATCAGCTGTTCAGATGATAAGTTGTGTTGGGATCCCCCTTGCTTTCTTACTGCTTTGCCCAGGAGGCTTTCCTGAGGCTCAGGAGAAAAAAACAGAGGGGGGGGGGGGGGGGGGGGGGGGTGTGCTGCAGCAAAAAAGAGCCACGCCCACCCAGTCACATGGCCACACCCATGTAGCCACACCCACCTAGCCATGCCCACAGAACCAGTAATAAAAATATTTTCATCCCACCCCTGTTGGGCTTCCTTTTTTTTAATGGGTGGACATGAACATGAAAGACACAGCCTTACTGCTCCAGAAGATAATCCATGTCCTCCTTCTCTTGAGTCTTGCATGGTTGGGGCAGCTCCAGGAAATCTTCTTCACCAGCCCCGTCACTGATGGAACTCAAGTCCCCCTCCAGCTGAACTTGAGTGATGTTCTTCTTGGGGGCGGAGGCCTGAGGAACGGATGGAAAAAACCCAAGTGAATTGAAATAGAACCACTTTGCAATGTTGCCCCAAATCTTCTAATTAATCATGATTTCACCTCAGGATATGGCATGCAGACAGCTGGGACTGGAGCATGAAGAGAAGGTGTTGGGGTTCCCATTTGCTCCTCAGAAAGCTGGATTGGGAAGCTGAGATGTGACGGGATGCTTCGTGGAGAAATCTCTACTCCAACTTGTTGGTTCCACGCAGACTGCTCGATTCTCTCTTTCATGCCCTCCAAACACAGCCCCAGATGGAAGATGCTGCCTTCCACTCCTCTGAGAAACATTAAGCCACAATCCCCAAATCTTTTATTTGTTGAGGTGGATGTAAATTCCTGTTAACCTCTCTCTTGATACTTTTAATAGCACCCGGCATAAAAGTCATTAAAAAAAGGTAAAGGGTTCCTCTATCCAGCCACATCCATCTCTAGGGTGCAGTGCTTATCTCCAACAATAAATATGCCTGAAATTGCAGATTTCCTCCTATAGAGATATTTGGTGGTTGACATGGTAAGTAAAGGGGAGAAGTGTTGGAATTCATTGTTGGAATGTATTTTTATGTAACAACTACAGTAATATTTAGCCAGTAGATGGCAATGTTGTCATATTTCGATCTATGGTATAAGTCCAGTAGAGTTTCCTGTTTCAGCTATGCAGTTGAGCAGTAAAGCACATGGTGACTGTACTCTTTGTTTGCTCTGTGTGCTGCTTTACATAAAACAGAATTTCTAACAAGAAGCGTCTGTAATGCTCAAAAAGTGAATGTAATCGGTTATCTTTGGCAAATCTGCAATTCAAGGGAGGAGACAATCCGTCCTGAGTAAGATTCGTGCAGTCTCTAAGAGTTGCCACCAACTTAAAAATAAAGGCAAAGGTTCCCCTTGTCCAGCCATGTCTGACTCTAGGGCATGTTTCTCATCTTGCCAATTGAAATCAGCACTGTTTGAAGATGCTTCCATGGTCATATGGCTGGCATTATTATATACCAAAGTGCATAGAATGCAGTTACCTTCCACCAAAGTGGTACCTACTATATTTATCTACTTGCATTTGCATGCTTTCGAGCTGCTAAGTTGGCAGGAATTGAGTTAAGTAGTGTAAGCTCACCCTGTCGCGTGACACTCGGGACTCAAACCAGTCCAGCTGACAAACCTTAGCATTTTTGGACCTCTTTTTTTAATCTGGGTGGTGTATGTCTACGTACCGGTTGGGATCAAATTCTCCTAGGGTCTCCATAGCTCCGTTCTGATTCAACTGCTGGTACTGATTTCGAGCCTGCACATAAGCTTGCTCCAGTGCTTCCTGAGCTTCCTTCAGTCTTGCAACCCCCTACCGAGACAGGAAAATTGAAAGAGGAATAAGGAGAGGAAAACCTCAACTTACCCCAGTTCTTTTAGCGGCCATTCAAAGTTACAATGGCACTGAACCAAAATGACTTAGGACATGACTTTGTCCCATTTACGATATTTCTTGCTACAGTTGTTAAGTAAGTCACCTGGTTGTTATAATTATCAGTCGGTGGCCAAGCGCCTGGATTTTGTTCACAGGGATGCTGCAACCGTCATTAAGTGTGAATAACGGTCACAAGTCCCTTTTTTCCCACTGCCGTTGTAACGTCAAACAGTCACTAACTGAACTGTTGTAAGTCAAGGACTGCCTAGGGCCATGAGGCACGTAGAGCCATTTGGGCTGGCGTGCAAGCCTCAGCCAAACTTACCTGCCCTGCGCATGTGCGTGCTTCCCAGCTGGTTTTCGGCCTCCAGAGGCTCGAGGGAAGCCTCTGTAGCCTTTGGAGGCTGAAAAACGGGCACTTAAATACCGGAAGTGATGAAACGGACCCATTTTTCGGCCTCCAATGGCGGCAGAGGCTTCCCTTGAGCCTCCGGGAGGCCGAAAAAGGCCTCAAATGGGCTGAAATTCAGCTGGGAGGCGTGCGCGTGCGCCATGCAGGTAAGAGGGTGGTGTGGTGTGGGGGGATCGTGCACCTTGCCTTCTGGGTGGTGGCATATGAGTGTGTGAGCACGACCGTGAGCCCCGTTTTTGGCACAGGTGTCACTTAAGAGGGAGGAGAGGAAAAAAAATGGCATTACCTTCAGCTGGTCCGTGGCCTCCAGCCTGTCGGTTTGAATTAAATCCTCCAAGAATTCCATCTGGGAAACAAAATGAGGAATGGATTCAACATATTGCATTAATCAGACTGGTAGGATGGTTGTCTTCCTATCTCAGTTCCAAGAAGTGGGAAAAGATTAAACAAAGATTAAACAAAGGGCAAAGAACGAGTGTGCCCAAGTCTTAAAACAATTGCAACCCAGAATCAATTTACTTAATGCCGAAACATACTCAACATACATGCAGAATGCTTTTCAAATTGGAAAACATGCTCACAAATCCCTCTTTATTTTCCAGTTGCCAATCAGAAGCAAGAAACTGTGAGGTCCTTGGCATTCTCTGAGCTTGGTTGTTTTCTTGTAGAAGTTTCATGACCCTACTAGGTAACATCATCAGTGCTAGAAGGGAGTGGGGTGTGCAAGGAGGAGGAGGAAGACTGTGGGGTCCTTGGTGCTCTCTGAGCTTGGTTGTTTTCTTGCGGACGTTTCAATACCCAGCTAGGTAACATCATCAGAGCTGGAAGAATTGAAAAGCAACCCCTAATTCCCTTCTAGCATTGATGATGTTACCTAGTTGGGTCATGAACGTCTGCAAGAAAAAGAACTGAGCTCAGAGAGCATCAAAGGACCCCACAGTTCAATCCTGGGCTACAAATTTTGTCCTTTATTGGATATTAAAACAACAACAGCAACTTGCCTGGGTCTGAAATTTACTTGCTTGGGCAGTTAACAATCGTGTGAGATGATCCCCCAAGAAAGGTGTTTTGCTGGAGAGGGGACAATCTGTTTCGGAAGAAGCGATGCCCATGGAATAGCTCAAGGACGAGGGTTGTGCCGGCTGCCTAGGAAACCCTGCAACACAAAAAATATATAAATTCTGCTTGAAGTTCAGCTCAATTCAGGGAGCATAATACTTTCACGGTGTGAACATTGATTTATTGGCAACAATAGAGGAATGTGAGGTCCTGGGTGCTCTCTGAGCTTCGTGGCTTTTTTGCAGGACGTTTCATGACCGAACTAGGTAACATGATCAGTGCTAGAAGGGAGTGGAGTTTGTGGAGGAGAGGGGAAGGGGGAAAGAAGAGGAAGAGAAGGAGGAAGAGGACTGTAGGGTCCTTGGTGCTCTCTGAGCTTAGTGGTTTTCTTGTAGATGTTTCATGATACAACTAGGTAACATCATCAGTGTTAGAAGGGAGAGGGCTTTGTGGAGGAGAAGAAAAGGGGGAAAGAAGAGGAGGAGGCGGTGAAGGAGGAAGAGGAGGAGGAGTGTAGAGTCCTTGGTGCTCTCTGTGATTCTCTTGCAGACATTTCATGATCTAACTAGGTAACAATACCAGTGCTAGAAGGAAGTGGGATTTTTGGAGGAGAGATGGGGAGAAAGAGGAGGAGGAAGATGAGATGATGATAAGGGGTCTTTACTGCTCTCTGAGCTTGGTGGTTTTCTTCCAGACGTTTCATGGCCCAACTAGGTAACATCATCAGTGCTAGAATGGAGTGGGTTTTCCACCCTATTTATATACTACTATACTTCTTGGTGGTTATAGAGAGAAATGGCTTGCTCTCAAGGGATTTTTTTTCAGCTTGCCAGTCTAGCCTTCAGCCCTGGGAATTCTCAGTCATCCCATCCACAGGTATGACTGGCATTGAGCATTGGAGAACCAGCCAATGAATGACTTGCTCAGTTTACAGCAATGACGCTGTTTCTTCCCAGGATCAAGGAAGACAAGATGCAAATGTCTTCAACTTACCTTCACCATAACCGCTCGTGGATGCTTGGCTGGACCGCTTTGTGATCTCAGCAGACCTGATTTGAGGGATGCTGAACGTTACCACTTTGGATGCCTCCGATATTCTCCCCATTTCAGCGGCCTGGTTGGGCTTGGGAGGGTCGCTGTACAAGCGTACCTGAAAGGCAGAAAGAAAAGAAAAAAATAGAAGAAACCTTGTATTTCATCGTGATCTTCAAAAAAGTGTAATTGAAACACAAGTTAAAAGAGCAGAGAGAAGGCCCATATTTTTTTAACCCCCAAAAGTGAATAGACTTGGAAGCCAATCCAGCAGAATCATCATGAGCCTGGAATAACAGAGTTGGAAGGGACCTTGGAGGTCTTCTAGTCCAACCCCCCCACCCCCTGCTCAACAGGATCCATCACTGGAAGTTTTTAAGAAGAGACTGGACAGCCACTTGTCTGAAATGGGATAGGAAGGGGGGATGGACGAGAAAACCTCCAAGGTCCCTCCCCAGCTCTATTCCGATTCTGAGAGCCTAGACCATTCCAGACAAATGGTTGTCCAATCTTTTCCTAAGAACCTCCAGTGTTGGAAAACCCACATTCTGGAGGCAAGTTGTTCCACTGATTAATTGTTCTCACAGTCAGGAAATTTTTCCTAAATTTCAGGTTGATTCTCTCCTTGGTCAGTTTCCATCCGTTGCTTCTTCTCTCGCATTCAGGTGCTCTGGAGAATAGGTCGACTGGAAAACATCTTGACTATTCTTAACCAGATTTAACCCAATCCATCTGCATAGTGGTTGTTGGCTACAACCTTTACCTGCTTTCTCAGGTCCCCAACTGTCATTGTCCTCTGAATCGCACGAGTGGAGGTGAATTCTAAGGCGTCTCCCCTGCTTATGTTCTACCAGCTAGAACTGGATTTCTGAAGCTGACCCACATCTTCAGTTGCCACAGCCTGCCCCTCCTTCAAATCTCCTAGAGATGTCTCCATAAACTAAGCATTGTGACTGCATGAGAGCATCATGGGATAGGGACACAAGGCCTCCCCCCCCCCAACAAACAGGGAACCCCGAGTGGAGATTTTTCAGCAAAGGATGGGGAAAGGAGGACAAGAATTTGTAAAACGATGACAGGTTGGCTCCAAAGAGAACGCTTCTCTCTCTCTTTTTTTTTAAAGGGAAAAAAGAAATCAGTTATAAAAAAGTAACTCAAAGATATTAACATTAACATAGATTAACAGAGTTGGAAGGGACCTTGTAGGTCATCTAGTCCAACCCCCTGCCCAAGGAGGAGAGCCAAGACCAGCATGTATGGCCACAACGGAGCTCAAAATTGATGTTGCCAAGTGAAAAAAAAATTTTTTTTCTCAAAGTCTCATCATCTTTTTGGTAATGTGACCAAAACTGGTTGCAGGATTCCAGTTGTGGGTCTTACTGGGGTTTTATAAAGCAGTACTAATACTTGATTCTACGCCTCTGTGGGGCATACAGGAAGGAGAAAAGATCTGTCACAATTTGGAGACACAGGAAACTGACGAGTAGAGAACAGCCAGTTGCAAATGCAATGTTTTTTTGGGGGGCATGTTCTCAATTCCCCCTCCTCTTTGCAACTTCCTGTTCAAGGAGAAACTGGCCGAGTCATCTTAATAAAGAAACCCCAGTGCTTCCTTCTTCCCTTGAAAAGTACTATTCTCTTTTCTTCTTTTCAACAGCCCTAAAGACTTCCTCAAGACATTCTTCACAGAATTGTAGAGCCGAAGCCAGCCAGATCCGATGGTATTTGCAGAGGGTTTCGAATAAGCAAGGATTTCCGACTCATAATTATTTTCGAAAAGCAACAACGATGGATTCCAGCCTAATCTGAATTCTACTTTTGAAATGAAGCAAAGCTGGGATTTTTAAAAAAGAAATGAATCAGGAGTAGCATATTCTTCTGAT